ATAGGAAAAGTAATATGTTGACTTACCTTGGTCAAAGGCGAACAGACATGTGTAGAATCACCAAAGTTGGAAGACTATACCTGTCTAAGGAAGACACAGCCAGTTCGTGCAGATAATGTTGGACGAATGTATTGGGAGTTGTCCACATATCAACCTGAACAATCTCCTCCAAAGGCTGGCAAAGCAAGCAGCTAAAGACATAGATAGATGATAAATTAGGTACGAAGAAATACTGTACAGATAACAGCGACCTCCCATGGACAAGTCAGAATATGCCAGTCTTATGAGTTGATGACATCAACCAGTGAGTGCAATAGGGGACATATCACGAGACACAGAGTAAATCCTTGGAACAAATAGACAGGAATGATTATATGAAAGGAGGAAGTACAAGCCACATAATATTTCAGGGAACAAACCAGACAAAGAAGTCTATCCGGAACTAAATGGGAATACAAGTGGGAAATGGAAGGTAAGGAAATATGAAAGAAGACCAAACCACCCATCTGGGCAGCAGATATCTAGGGAAGGAAGGCCCAGTCAAGTTAGAGGATAACAAAAGAGGAATGGTAAAGGATGTGGGAAACATCAATGGCATAAATATTGGAATGACAATGACTGCAAGCAAGGAGAAAGAGGACTTCATGGAAAGATGGTACAAGGAACACATAGCAATGGGTTCAAATGGAGAACTGGACAGGGCATAAAGGACAAAATTGAGATCCAATATGGCAAAAAAAAAAAAGGGACGTGGAGAACGGACAGATGAAAGGAAAAGGCGGCAAATAACAAGAGGAGTAAGGTTTCTGGAAATGGGAAAATTAGAAGGTGATCAACAGGGCAGCCATATAACTAGAAACAGCTGACATGGACCAAACCTGATCAAACAACCAGGCAAAGAACTGAGAAAGATGAGGTACCAAAGGACAGAAGCCACAACAAACTGACCATGGTCTAAAGGTAGACCACCTCTTCTGGTACACAGACAAGGAGGAAGGTTGAATGGAATGGGAAAGGAAAGACACTACACTAGGGGTGAGTCCCTGAACTGAGGCAAGGGACCGGACAAAAGCCACATGGGAAGATGTAGTTTGGGGAAGTTGGAATGAATTATGTGTGATTGTGGTTGTCAGAGGAGAAACTGGGACAGAGGTAAAAACAGGGGATGTTGCTACAGTAAGAGCCAGAGCAGAGGGAACAATGCCTAAGCAGGCCAATATGAAGCAATAAGCAGGACATGATAAGGAGTGGTCTGGGTAAGAGAAAAGACTCTGGAGAGGATTCTGATCGGAGGGTAGGCATATAGGTAAAGACCCCTTCAATCCTGACTGAATACATCTACTCCCAGAGCTAAAAAGTGTGAAACCAAAATACTCGTGAAAGAAGGGGCATCTCCATGGGGAGAACCTGGTTGGGTCAAGATAAGTGCTTGGCCACCAGATACATAATGCCAGGAACATGACATGCCAAAATCACCATGTAGTGATCATGGGCTAAGTAAAGAAGATCCAGATTCTGAAAACACAGAGATATAGCTGATGACAGTGGAATAGTCGGAATAAACCATAACCACCCGCTCTCTTAGGACTGAGAGGAAAAGATACAGAGTCCAAAGAACTGCCAAAAGTTCCAGGATGCTGAAAATGGAGAGTAGCCTCCTTGATGGGTCATTGAACGGAAATCTCTTGGGAATCAAGGAAAGCCCACCAAGGAATATTGGTAAACAGACAAGATGGAGGAATAGGAACCTCCACCTAGTCAGTTCCCTGTCGAGCCACCAAGCAAGGTCAGCCCTAATCCCAGGTGAAACAGAAATGGGATAGTCCAAGGGATCATGGGAGAAGTTCCATTGGTCAAGAAGAGTCCACTGAAGGGAATGCATGTGAGCTCGACACAGTGAGAAAAGGATAAGGTAGGGCCATTGACACTGCCTGCTCCATATCTTTGAGCTGAAGTGGAGAAGGCTGGACCTGACAAAGATGAGAATTTAAGAAAACCCCCAAGGTAATAAAATATTTTGTGGGGTTAAAAATGGACTTCTCCAACTGGAACAGAAAACCCCGCTTGATTAGCTTCCCAAAGAAGTAAGCATGCACGATTGACTGACTGGGCACAGGAAAAGACAAGCAGAAGCCAGTCATCCATGAAAAGGGTAGTCCGAAGACCCAACGTGTGAAAATGACAGGCAGAAGAGTGTACAACTTAACAAAACACACAAAGCTGAAGAAGGACCGAATGACAGTGCCCGGAACTAGAAGACAAGACCCCCGCAGATGCACTGAAGAAAACAATGTGAAACTGGAGCAGTTGAAATTTGAATATATGCATCCATCATGACAATTTGGTAATCCAGAGTCTTGTGGAAAAAACCCTCTGAAATGAGAGGTAGAACTCCATTGTGAAACGAGGTGGCCCCAGATAAGAGTTCAACCGGGACAGGTTTATGTTGGGTCTACAATCTCCCATCTTTCAAAGGACAGCAATTAAACAGGAGTAAAACCCAAGTTGAATAGTTACCACCCATTCAACTTTGTGTAGTAGGTTTTGAACAGACTAGGCAAGACAACTGGAAGAGGTGCAATCCCAAGGAGGAGGGAAGGAGATCCAGGAAGTGGATACGGGGGGTGGGGGTGGGGGGGGGGGGTGAAGGCAGAAACCTTCAGACAGAACCCATAGGCCCCATGGAACTGTTGTAAAGTGTAGTAAAAAAAGACACAAAATAAGCATACTTAGACAAAGTACTCATAACTAAGGAACTGACGAAACCTAGAAATTTGTAGAGTCTACAAAGTACATAAAAATAACAAACTTGCAAAACAATGAAATTCCTAAAACATAAAACAATAAGCAGTACCTAAAGTACAAAACCACTAAAGAAACTTAGAAGATGAAAGACACATAAATACTGAACTTATAAGTCCACTCAAAGAACCAATAAGACAAAGGACACAAAAGTCAAACCTACCCTGAAGAACATGAGAATTAAAAAGCGCCTAGTAAACATTAACAAAATTTGACTCAAATCTAATCCCCAACCAGATGTGACCAGTAGTAAAGAAAAAAGAACTTACAAACTAACACAAACAGTGAAAGAAAGTATAAATAATGAACCAACACACACAAAATTGGCTGAAGTTACAATTACCCAAACAGTAACTATCGTGCAAAACTCATCCATATATCGAAAATTAAACAAAAACAAAGTAACAAATAAACTCGAAACATAAATTTAAACTAAAGTAACTTAAATGGTAAAAATAATTATGAAATCTAACTTACTAACTACTGAGCAGAGAAGACACGAAAGACCTAAATTATCATGCGAGGAAATAGATCAATCCACAGAAGCTCACATAAACTTGCTAAACCCACTGGGAGTGAGGAATACATGATGAACAATTTACCAAAGATCTCCTGGAAAAAAGAACAATACCTAACCCAGGATATTACATGGAGGCACGATAACAGGTGGAAGGTGTCATACAAAGAAATTTCCACTCAATAGTTATATCCTTCCTCACAAACAAAAAAATAAATTGTAGCATGAAAAGAAAAAATCATCAGCTGAACTCCTCATGAACTAAAGCCAGTACATCCTCAGCAGATACCATCAACCCTGAGACTAATGTCAGAAACATTGTCGACTGTCACAGGAATTTCCTCATCATTCGTATTAAATCTCAAATTCATATGAACAAATTAGAATTTGGAAAACAGAAATATTTCCAAAACAAACAAGTAGAAACAATGGAAATCAAACGCAAAAAGTCAAAACTTGAAGTTGAAACCAATATAAATTTTTGTTCAAGCACAATCAAAATTTTGTAGTCATATGGAGTGCAATTTAAAACACATCTACACACCAGAATGCCAATCGAGAAAATGACAATTGTTCTAGAATAGTAGAGGGAACTAGTTGTGCCAGTATAGATGGCATAGTATGATTGGTGGAGAGTAGCCACATGATCAGCACGTTCTGAAATGGCACAAAACTGATGGAGTATAAAGACTGGTGCACTGTAGCAAAATATGTTTAGCAATGCTTAGAGGGCAGACCAGGATCGAGATAGCACCATTTTGGAACTAAAACTTATCTAACTAACACATTTATAGGTGACAAACAATACTGAAGTGCTAGCAAGGTCATAAGCAGCAACAATGCTAAGAGGTTTTGACTTGTACTCTGTGGAATTCTTCGTGCCAATTTTAAAGTGACTGTTGGGAAATAGTATTTCAAAATGTGGCTTTCTACTAGTTACAAACATCTAGCTCAACTAAGTATAATTGGCTGAGAAATTGTAACTGTATGCGTAGAGAGTGGGTGTGGCATCTGTCAAGAGTTCCAAGAAATGTATTTATTTTCTTCCAACCTCTGCAAAGAAACTTGAAAGAAGAATGTGTAAACAGAGCAATTAACCAAGATTCTTTAAATATATGGAAGGTTTAGTGTATTCAAGTCCTTCTCAACTTACAAAGGCCAAACATTAAAACTTTGTGAAGTAACTAACTGAAGTTTAAGAATTTTTCTTTAAGGATTCTTTTGAAATAAAGGAATTAAAGCTTAGATAATATAAAATTCTGAATGTAACAAAGTAAAATCTCGTGACATGCGCAGTACAGGGGTAATCATAACTGTAGGGTTAAAAATGTGCTTTTCGGTGGGAGTTAGCTCCAGGATAGTGGCATGCAAATCTCAAACAAATGCACAAGGGATCAATCTATTCTGTGTGAGAAGGTGAGATAATATCTCAGAATTCCCATTATTGTAGGTATTTTTTATGTTTTTGGTGGCCACCATAACATTGAAAAACTTATTTTTCTCAACTTCTAGCATTTTGTAGAATTTTCCTCCTCTTCAGGATTCTTTATACTATAGTTAACTTACCATGACTGTTCTTGTGTTCAGATAATCTTTTTGTCTAACATCTGGCACAGTATATCTCCTAAAAAAAAATGTGCAATTAGACAGAATTACAAAGCAAAGAACCATTGTAACTTACCATAACTGTTCTTATGTTCCACTAATCTTTTGTCTAACATCTGGCACAGTTTATCTCCTAAGAAAAAAATTGTGCAAGAAGACAGAATTACTAAGAAAAGAACACATATAACAAATATTAATTTTCCCTTGTATAGCTTTTCTGTTTAACTATCTAGAGTCAAGTATGTTTTTATACACTGTTCATCAATACTAAAATTCCAAACTACTAACTCTTTTTGTTACAGTATTTACGTAACTGTAAGAAATTACATGACTTGTTTGTATCCAAAATCAATCTTATATCTGAAAACCTACCTTAATAATGTAATTAGGTTGGTATAATTGTTGTAAAGTTTTAAAATGATAACAGTAAATTAATTTGTGGTATTTCTATGTTATACAGTACATCCTCTCCCAATAACAACTTTATTTTAAATATGACTTTTTTCCATGCATGGAACAATTTGATATTGATCTGACTTCACAGGATTGACTTCCTGACAGATGTGACACACACCTGTGATTTTTAGGCAGAAGGTCGAATAATGACCACTCTATAATGACTTTTCTTCATATCAATAATGTAATTTACAGAGACACATGAATACAGTGTATACAGTATGGAACAAAGAGGTCACATGACCAGAGATTGTTTCACAGCTTAATATATGTATCTTGTAGCCCCAGGGTGTTCAACTAAAACTCCTTGGTACACACACACATAGATATTCTGGTTTAAAAACTTTCAGGTCCTGAAAGGTAACAAGGGGCAGTCAAAAACTGTTGTTTGTCTTCGCCCCACTTAGGAATTAAGATTTATTCTTTTAGTGAATGTAGTGTATTTTGAGCTAGTGACTAGACGTTATCAAACTTTATTTGGATTTACTAGCAGGATGTGAAGATTATTAACTCGCAGTTTGTTGAGTGACAGACTCGATTAATCTGTGTGTTAAGCATGGCTAATGAAATTCTTCAAGGCATCCGGAAAAGCTGCAAATGTCTCAAGCTAAGAACAGGAAGTCACCGTGAAGAAGGAGGCTCACAGTGTTGATATAGAAATGTGACGTGGATGTTGATATAGACCAAAGCAACAAAATAAACAAAATATGGAAATTAGAGAATTTTTAGACAACTTGAAATTGTTTTTATTCAACATATTACATTTTATGTAGTATTTGTATTCAGAGAGGATTACCTTATTAGATATAGGCTAGAGTCTAGCAATAATTTATTTCAGACATTTATTCTTATTTCTTTACTGGTTATTTTGAATTTGTGGAATGGTCCCTTTTCAGAACTGGGATCAAAGGATCCAAGTTTCAAGGTGAAATTTTGGTTAAGGGTGGGGCTGTTTTGTTCATTTAAGATACATAGCTTCCAATGTTTGGTACTTTGTTTAAAATTACAGTGTTTTGTATGGATATACCGTGGATTTTTTGAGTTGCAATGGTGGAAAATATGGGATGTTTTTTTTATTTTGTTTGGTGAATCTGGCTTCCAATTTTCTTCTGGTTTCTCTGATGTAGAATTCTGGACATTTATTGCACATTATTGCATGATACTAAAATCATGCACTGAAACTAAAATGAAATGCTTCTTGATATAATAACTTACAGACTCATGAACATTCAATGCGACTCCATTAAATGTGCAAAATAAACAAAGATGGACAAATTTTTTTATGAAATAAAAATTTATAAAATTTATATGTATGTAATAAAAGATGTGATACCTGGATGTTTATGAAATAAATGTGATCAATAAATAAATTATTTTAGATGAAACACAAACAAAACAATTTTGAGTTACCTTTATTGAACTATTATCCATCATAACTATTATTATACAGTGTACCAACTTGCTATGTTATCTGACTACCTTTACAGTATATAAACCATTATTCTCAACCCCTGGGAATAGTAACTGGCACAGCTTGAATTCGGTCCTTTGTTATCTGGTTATTGATCTTTTGAATAACAAATTCCTGTCAGATGTGACTTTTTTTATCATGGCAGATTAAGTCGGTCATATCTAAGAGGGACTACTGTATATATATATATATATATACACACACACACACTTTCTTTTTTTTCCAGAATTACCTCTATTTATTATTTCAATCTAACATTTCTTATAATTCCGATTGTAAAGCAAGAAATATATATTCTGTATTAAAGTGTAAACTTGAATTATACAACAGTATTACAATACCAACCAAAGCATACTTGAAAGAGTGTGAATAAAAGTACCAACCTGAATCATTCGTAGAGGGTTTTGGCTGATGCATCCCTGAGTAACTTTGGTGACTGTATCATTGAACATACAGCGTAAATCAGGGGCTTTGTTATAAACTATGTCAATCTTTGGCCACCAGGTGAGACGGGGCTGTGTTATGATACGGTACAGTGAACTCACAAGAACAAAGTGGTACGTTGAAGGAGAATTGGGGTTCAAACACACCTTCAATGCTTCATTGTTATGAGGATTGATACGGAAACAGGAGACAAAGCAGTCAATCATCAGGTCTATATCTTGATTTAAAGATGACTGGCTACGAGAAAATGGCTTACTTGGGTTGAAAAGAAGAAACTGCAGAAAAATATTAAATAAAAATGTCCATAGATTCAAACTATGTATATAGACACCTCAACTAAGTAAAATGCATTTTAAAAATCAATTTTCTATCATTAGGATAATAAATTTTGCTACTAAACATGGACTATACTGTCTACAATTCCCATGTTAAAGATTATTAAAAATTCATCATGAAACAGCTACAAAAGTCATATCATTCACTAAAACTACAGCATAATAATATATTCCTAACTGAATGGATGAGATTTATATATCAAATTTTATACAATAAAATAAAACACTCCATCTTAATCAACATTACAAGCACTTTAATAAAGTCATTTTAAAAGGATAGTTTGTAAGATTTTGATATTGTTTTACTGACAGATAGTTACCTTGAGGTCATTGATAACTGACTGTACTAAAGCAAAAACAACATTGTTGCTATCAAGAATGTTAATGTATGTAGAACATTTACACAGCTTAACACAAGTCATGGCCGCTGCTTCTGTCAGCTGCTTGCTGGTACCATGTGGAACAAGAGCTTTTTTCACACTGTCAATGAACTGACGCTAAAGAAATAAATTATATTTGTTGTGAAAAACCCACTAAAAGTAATAATTGGAATTACAATAATAAACAATATTCTCGTATTTTCTAGATTTATAAACATAGGATAACAATGTTTAACAAAAAAATAAATTACACACATTTCAATTACTACAAACCAGGGCCTGAAATTTGCACTGTTTAGTCAGCTTTGATTAGCCAGGAGACATGTACGCTGACTAGAATACTAAAAAAAAATAATCTAATTAGTCCAACAGAACCAATTAGAATTTGAAGCATCTTTCCTATTTTACCTTGTCACCAAATGTGTATTTCTATAACTTTTTTCTAAAACCATAGTTGTATTATGTATCATAAAAGTTTCTTCTTTACTTCAATCTTCCAAATGGAATATCTAGTTTTCTGGAGATCCCAGATCTATTTTTAAACATTATGGGAAATCTATAATGTCTGAAATAAAAAGGTCCCTAAGACATGTGAATGGCAGGATTTATCCAAGTGAAGCATGACAAATATAAAGATCTCAATGAAGAAATATCTTACACTTGGGTCAGTATTAACTCCCTAAATCTGAGCAAACACTACTAGCATCCAGACAAAATTCATATTTACCCATCGGACAGTGACATTGTCCAATAACATTTATGTCTCTTTGGCTGAAAACTAATCAAAATGTTATTATCCACAAAAGTAAAAAAAATGAAGTTTTATATGGTACGGTGATTATTATTAGGAAATCAAGAAAATAATTCTGGCTGAACATGCAAAAAATTATGAGTTTAAAAAGAGTTAAAACAGTAATCTCATGTCACATTATTTTTGTGTGTGTTTATCTAGATCAATATAAATACTATATACATTTTAAATTAAAGAATTTTGTTTAATGATATACATATATGTTGATACATATTTACACTTGTGTTCTTCTTTAAAAAGATAGAATTGATAGAATGGGTTTAACATATACATATCTAGAGTGGACCATTTAAACCAAATAAAGACAAGTTGGACTTCCTGAAGGATCAGTTAGAATTTTTGTGAAGGACAGATTAAACATTTTCTGAATCATTAAATCAAAATGAAATCTGAACATTATTGTTGAATATACAAGATTGTTTAGTTTAATAGTTATTATTTAGTTTATTTGGTGATTTAATATTTAATGATTATTTACTTTTCATAACAAGTGAGTTAAAAGTAATTATTTTAAGTGTGATAGTTATGCCAAGTTTGGTTGCATAACTTGGTAAGAATCATACGTTGCGTGTGTGTGGTTCAATTGTTGTAGTATTGTTGATGCCAAGTTACTCAAATCTTCAGTATTTTCCTCCTTACCTTAAATGAGTATTGTTACATTATAGCATCGCTCGCATATGTTATAGAAAGTTTGAGACCTCAGTGAACAACATATAAATATAGACAACCAAGCAAGTGCAAGTCAAGTAGCAAAAAGTCAAGTAAAGTTCAGTCAGAAAAAAGTTAAAAAATGTGAAGTTAACTGGCATGTGAGTAATTAGCCATAATGGGTGATATTTTAAAGTGAGTTCCCAGTTTAGTACAGATAACGAAAATAATTTGTCTTGCCAAAGGGTGTTCTAAAGTTATTGAACCTGTCTGTGTGGACTTTCATGAAAAGGAGACTATTATTTAAAATTCAAGATACAGCTGTGGTAACACACGGAGTAATGTAAGTGAATTGATTGCAGATTGTATAGTAGGAAACAGAGTAGAGAAAAATAATTCATCTTGTCATTTGAACTCTAAAGTAACTGAATCAGCCTCTGTGGACTTTAAGATTTCAAGAAGGTAGGTTGTGTCTTTAGACTGCTCAAAATTTCATATGTTTTTAGACTGAAATAAAGCTTAGTTACTAAGCTTGATAAATTGTTCAGGAATTCTATGGTACTGATATAGTAATTTATGATTTTTCGGTTATTCAACCATGTACATAAAATATAAAAAAATTATTTTGTTTCATATCTTCCATGTGTAAAATTTTAAAAGGCTTAGCAACCTAAGTCAAGCAGCAACTGAGTACAAAGGTCATAACTGGAAGAGATAATTTTTTGCTTTACTTCTTTATTTACTGCTCTATGTTTTAAGAAAAATAAGTTTAAGAACTTATTTCTAAACAGGAATTATCTATAAACATATATAATGTATAATAATTGAAATGTGACTGTATTTTACAAAATACTAGTCTACTAAAACACAGGTCACTTTGTAAAGACTGAAGGTCAGATATATATTATTGGATACGGTAACATGAGTACATGTGTGCCGCATCATTGTAACTTCTGTATTGTTAGCCAGGCATGGTTGAAAGGTCAATATCATAAATATATAAAAATGTATAATGTTATGAGATTTAAGCTATTTTAGAGGGTGATTTAAATTTGTTTTGATTTTTTTTTGGAGGTTACGAGGTCAGTCAAATTGACTAACATTCTATACAGTTACACTAGAGAAAATAACAGATAAAATATAAAAGTTTTACTAAAAACAAACATCTGAAATGTATTTAGGAGATTTTACAGATTACATAAATGAAATTTGAGATTTTTGAGATGAAGAAAAGTATTTTTTATCTAAACATGAAAAATCGCTTTGCCCACAGACTATTCAAAACAAA